GCGTGAGAATTTGATCCACTCGCTTATATGATCCACTCGCTTATAATATACGTTACGGGCTTTAGGAGATTAGGATCCATTGTTGGATATGTACTAGTAGACACGTGATAGTTGCCCTTTCGGGTTAAGCCCGCCGGGCGGAATAAAATGTGTGTGTGTGTGTACTTGCCACTTATCCGAGGTTAGCCGCCGGCCCTCGGCCTCGATAAGAAACGGAATATCCATCTTCCAGGTGTGACGTAGTTGCAGCAACATAAGACATATTTAGCCGGGAGAGAGAGGTGCAGATTTGGTATAGGGCGCGACGAAGCGAAATAATGCGACATGATTGTCCGAGATGATCTTAGCAGCGCTCCCAATAATCCAATTTTTTCTTGGCAATCTTCTAATCCAATCAATCCAATCCAACCCAATTCTGGATTTTTGAGCCCCAATTTAATCCAATTCGGGCACCAGATTGATTGGCGAATTGTCAATTTTTGGCCCATATTTTCCCCTTCTTTGGACACCCCGGCAAACCCCGAGGGTTCAAGGTTTCTGACCCTCTGGCCAAGAAAACACCCGGGCCCTCGGTTCGACACGCGCGATATCGCGATGCTTCCCCTTGGTGTTGCGTCCCCGCTCGAGCGCCGCGAACCATTATACTAGGTCACTGTTGCCTCTGAACGTCTGCTATGAGTGACCTTGCCGATTGCTCAGACACGGCATCTATTGCCAGCGATGCTCCAATCCACCTATCCGACATACCGATCGCTTCCACCTCCGGAAACAGCGCCTTCTCCCGCCTCCGCCGGGCCCGCAGCGTTGCCGACCAAGCTCGCGAGGCAGCAGAGATCCCCGTAGAACAATTGTCCCTCTTCGCCGTTAAGGACCTTCCAGCGATTCTCCATAAAGGAAATAGATATATTCTAGAGGAATGGCTATCTAAGAAGAATCGGACCTCGTGGATCGGGAAACACGGTATCTGGCTCACGCGGTTACAAGGGGACAAGACCGATGGCTCTTTCTGGTGTTGTGAGCTGTGTTCCAGCATCTTCAGCTCCCAGGCCACAAGCGCTGCTGCCCAGCACTTGAAAAAGTCCCACAGGATCACTGAAACGGCTGGCGATGCTGAAGACGGCAGCAGCAGGGTTCAGGGCTCAAGTAAACGAATGCGGCTGGCTGCTGGGTTGCGGTCTTTTGCTACGGCCGGTCGCGCACTACGAACTCCCGTGTTGAAGAGCATAGCAAAGTTGTTTAAGGAGAATATGCTCAACTGGATCGTCGATTCAGACCTGCCTTTTTCAGTCGTCCAGAACCCTCATTTCCGGAGTCTGTTGATGCAGTTGAACGCCGAGAAGGTAGCTTCCTTATTACCGGAGTCTGGGTCAACAGTGAGGAAGTGGTTAGACGGTCTATACGACCAGCAATTCGCCTTGCTCAAACAGTCTTTGGCGTCCTCTCCCGCCTTCAAAAAACATATCTCTTTCGACCTGTGGACATCAACCAACTCTATCGCCCTGTTGGTAGTAGCTGTACACCACTTCAACAGCTCCGGAACCCTGGAAACGCATCTACTGGCCCTGGAAAGGTGTGACGAACCTCTCTAGGATCCTGTCCTGTTAGGGTTCAGTGAAGGTACTCTTGCAAAGGATGCTTAGGTTCGGTACAGCCAAAGGGTGCACAACAATAGGCTTGTCTCAACAGTAGGCTTGCGAGCTTGTAGCGAACTGTAGCTGTGATTGCTAACTGGAGAACTCCCAGAGCTCTCCAGAACGAGTGACTATATACTGGCTACGTCCCATGTGCTTCCCTTGCTCAGTGACTGAGCACACTGAGCATCCTGCTCTCCTTGCTCAATCATGAGGCTCGCTGAGCACACTGCTCAGCCTGCTCGGTAGCTGAGCGCACTGAGCATCTGCTGATTGGTTATTCTAGCGATTGGCTCGGGACGTCCCGCACCCCGCTTCCGTACGTCTGGCACAGTGGTCGTGACAAAAGGATCAAGGGCAGCCACAGCGGTGATAACCTGGCCCAAGGAGTTGTTACGGTCGTCGAGCGCTTCGGTCTGGCCCAGCAATTGGGTTATTTCCAGTCTGACAACGTGGAGTCGAATGATGGCTGCATCTCCGCCTTACTACAACACTTCAACCCCGCGCTCACTGCCGTCGAAGTCACGAAGCTAAAGAGGAAGGGCCGACTCCGCTGCTTTGGCCACATCCTAAATCTCGTTGCCAAAGCCTTCCTTGAGGGAAGCAATAAGAATATCCTTCAAACGCTCGAGGAGGGTTCTCAAGCCCGCCTTGACACTGAGCAAGAGGGAGAGCTTCCGAGGCAATGGCGGAAAGCTGGGCCAATTGAGAAGCTCCACTACCTTGTTCATTTTATTCGCCGCAGCCCTCAGCGCCGCGAGAGCTTCCTCGAGGTTGCCAAGGGCCAGCTATCCGATGACTACCGGACATTGCAAGTACACCCCACACTTCCCAGATACCAACCACATGAACTTAACCGTAAAGCTTTGACTCCTGAGCTCCCCACCTCTGACGCCCTATGAATACTGAGATTGCTAAAATTCTCGAGTAAATCAAACCCAGCTTTCATGTGTAGAACCAAGTTCTGGCGACATAAAAGCTGGCAAAACAATGTCCGAGCCTCCCAACCGGTACGTTTGCCTCACCGACTCTTCCCTCACCAGGTTACCATCTCAACAGTCCGTTTCAAATCCGCATATTCCACAGCGCAGGACTCAATAATGAAATGAATAATTATATCAACTCTCAGCCATTTTTACTCCCCCACCGAAACCGCCCAGTCTCCTCGCAGTGCACGCTCTCGGCCCAACCTACCCACACCCAGACGTTGTTCAAACCGTCTGGACCGACATCCTCTGAATCTACTTCCCCGATCGCTTTCCTAGTCTTACTCTACCGGCCGCCCCGGCCTCTCCTGATCCCCTGTCAGACCAACCCATAACCGCCAGCGCTGCACAAAGAACGCGGTACACAGTCCGCTGGGGTTCTTACCGCGGTCCGCCGGAGCGCGAACATCAACACCGCGGTGGTGAGGATAACGAGAGTGGTATACCCCCAGACCGAGCACCGGAAGACGCGACAATCGTGGTGGTGCAGACTACTACGACCTCAGCAGCAACAGCAGCAGAACCCCGCAGCGAGAGAGTAAAAAGGGACGTCCTATGGGTCAAGTGCAGACCAGCCGGGGATGACACATCGAGGGGATGGAAAGAATTAATGGAGGAAGCGGTAAACCGGTTGCGGGTGGCTCATCCGCAGCGGAATGTGTACTTGATTCTGGCGGTTGGGACACGGTGGATGGTGTTTGAGTGGGCTCCTGTAGGCTCTCATGGGATTTATGGGCATGGAGATGGTCACGGTCATGGTGAAGGGGGGAAGCAGCTTCACATCAGGGCGGGCAGTGATGGTGACGGGGATAGTGACACAGCAGGTTGGCCGGTTCACCCTTATATCCGGCCTGTTCCGGGCCTCGGTGAGGTGCCGTACTTGGCTTCGTCTTTGGATTCAGATGGAGGGATGCTTGATCAGATCGACACGGCAATGGCGTATTCGCTGGACTTTTGGACATTGGACCCCGAAACACAGCAACCGGCAAACTTGGCCGCGTTGCAGACGCTGGAGGGGTGTTTGGGCCATATTCGAGCCGCGGAGTACGGGGGTGGGCCGAATCCGAGTTATTTCCACTAGGGGAGAGAGGATTTTGGATCTAGATAGCGTTATGGGCCGGAGAAAGAATGGCAAGAAAAAAAAATAAAACCCCCCAAAAAAGGCAACAGAGAAAAAAAAACTAGAGATTTTTATGAAAGATAGTTCACCTTCATCTTTTACTCTCATGTGCTGGATATGCAGTTTCTCGAAAACAGGCACTTGGATCATCATCTTCATTTTCCTGAATGTGCAACACTCAGCGAAGCAAACAACGAGACTTGATTCCATCCAGAAGTTCCCTTTCTAGGATTTCCACATGCAACAACATGTGTAAATACGGGGCACGAGGGAGTCCAGATTCCGCCAGATTCTGGAACAGTCGGCAGCGCCCGCCGAGATCTCGGAGCGAGCCATTCCTGGTCTTCCGGAGCCGCGCTCGACAATCCTTCCCCTTCTGGACACAGCGCCCGCTTGTGGGCCGGACACCCGTCAGGAGAACCGGGTACCCGGGCTCGCCGGGCTGTTCTATTCTTGGGCCTAAACCTGGGGTCGATCTGATCGTCGACTTTTTTTCGTCTGCAAATGGAGTTTCTTGGAGGGCTGGAAACATTCAATGACGGAAACTGAGGGCTAATCACAGAGGAGCCATGAACGGTTCATGCATCAACAAACAACCGATACAAACTGCCATTAATTGCTTCGACGCCTCGGCACCAAGACGCAAGCCAAGCGCTCGCAACCTCAAGTGGTCTCTCTCGGCATCCTCAACCGACCCACGAACCACGGGACCGAGACACGTTCACCCCGCGATGGCACAGTGCCATCGCCGAAAGACCCAACCCGCGCAAAACAAAATGCTCACTCAAAAGTCAAAAAAACATACCAAAAAATCACCCAGAACCAGGTTCTCCCATTGTGGGGTGCATGGTGCGGTGCATGGCCCACGATGCATGATGCATCACCCTCCAGACATTCTCACTCTCTTTCTTCCCTTGACTGACTGCCCCATGTCCGGCTAAATACCCCATCGCCACAACCCCAGTGCGACCTCCCATCAGCCCCCCTAAACCCCATTGGCCAACCCACCCATGCCATCAACCCCATTTGAGCCTCCGGACAAGAGCAGTCCGTCAATTTTGGAATTTGAGGATCACACGCCTGTCCGTTGCGGGCGGTTTGCGGTCACTTGCGGGCCGTTTCCATGCAGGGGGGTAGCAGTTCTGGGGGTTCTCAAGCTTGACAAGGCCGAGTCTGGGCATGTGCGGCCCTGGGTGAACAGACGGGAGCAAACCCGGTAGCGGGCGCCACGGCGCCAGGCCGGCTTGAAAGGCAATACCGTGCCGATGGTGGCGCGCATTTTTGTGGTGTTTTCCTGTCCGTTGATGAGACGTTCGCGTTGCAATGGCCCCGCTGGTGGTGTTGGGTCTGGCCAGGCCGGCGGTTTGACCGGGACCGTGGGGAGAACTGATGAGGTTAGGGCCGGGTTGACGGGATGTTTGGAGGGTTAAGTGAGAAAGGGGGAATCACTATATGAGCGAGATATATCCCTCTTCTCGGTGCTTCTCTTGTTGTTGTCTCCAAGTCAGTCAGTCACCGCAGCTCTGCCAAGAAACAAACCACCCTCCCTCTTCTTCACCAGTCCACCGACTCTCTCTCTCTCTCTCACACACACTCATAATGAAGGGCCTCCTGACCGCCGCGGCCCTCTCGCTCGCCGTCAGCGATGTGTCGGCCCACTACATCTTCGAGCAGCTGACCACGGGCGGCTCGAAGCACGCTGTGTACCAGTACATCCGCAAGAACTCCAACTACAACTCGCCCGTGACCGACCTGACCTCCAACGACCTCCGCTGCAACGTGGGCGCGTCCGGGTCCGGCACCGACACCGTTACTGTGCAGGCCGGCTCGTCGTTTACTTTTACCTCCGACACGCCTGTGTACCACCAGGGGCCGACCTCCATGTAAGATCCCTTATACCACATCAATAACTCTGAGAATCTCCAGACTGACACAACCACCCAGCTACCTCTCCAAGGCCCCCGGCTCCGCCTCCGACTACGACGGCAGCGGCGGCTGGTTCAAGATCAAGGACTGGGGTGCCGACTTTAGCAGCGGCCAGGCCACCTGGAACCTCGGCAGTATGTCCTTTTTCCCTCTCCCCTCCTTATCACACCCCTTCCCACACCCCTTCCCACACCCACCCACCCACCCCAATATACACACGCAACTAACAGAAGCAAACAGGCGACTACACCGCCACAATCCCCAGCTGCATCCCCGCCGGCGATTACCTCCTCCGCATCCAACAACTCGGCATCCACAACCCCTGGCCAGCAGGCATCCCGCAATTCTACGTCGAATGCGCCCAAATCACCGTCACTGGCGGTGGCAGCGCCAACCCGGCGACTGTTTCCATCCCCGGTGCCTTCAAGGAGACTGATCCTGGGTATACCGTTAACGTACGCCCTTTCTCCCTTTCCCCTTTCCCCCTTGTTTCCCCGTTCCCTCCCACAAAAGAAAGAAGGAGAGGAATGAGATGCTAACGAAAGAGGAAAAAATAGATCTACACAAACTTCCACAACTACACCGTCCCCGGACCCTCCGTCTTCACCTGCTCAGGCAACGACAACGGCAACGGCGGCAACCCTCCCGCGACCACCACCTCGGTGAAGCCCCCGGCCTCGACCAGCACCAAGCCGCCTGCGTCGACGTCGTCGGCGCCGAGCGGTGGGAATGGATGCACTGTTGCTCAGTGGTAGGTTTCTCTCTTTCCTTCAAACGCCATTCTCATTTCTCCTCTGGGAGGACTACCTTGGTGGTTTTATCATGCTTGCTCTTGGGGATGGGGATGATGAAAGTAAGGGATATTGTGCTGACAGCGTGAAATAGGGCCCAATGCGGCGGCAAGGACTACACCGGCTGCACGGTCTGCGCCAGCGGGTCGACCTGCAAGGTGACCAACGACTACTACAGCCAGTGCGTGTAAGGGGACAGTAGGTTAGCTTAGCTGGGTACCTGGACGAGGAACGTACCTAGGCCCTTTGTTAGCTGGGAGCGTGGGGGGAATGAGTCGCCTATTTATCTTGGGTAGTAGTGTACCTAAGGCGCCGGCTCGGGTGTTGTAGAACTTCTTGCACATACATTTGACGTATTTTGAACAAATCTTGACCGTGAGGATCCTGCCTGTGAAGAAACGCTTATCCTGTCGTGATTGGGTCAGTGGTCGCTCGCTTTCTCGCAACTTGAGGATTAAATCAGTCTCACTTGAAGGGGTCACCAGTGTATCGAAAAGAACTGTTCTCGTGTAAGTCCCTCAGAGATTAGCTACGCTCAGAACGAGATATCCAACTGAGATGCGTGGTATCATTAGCAGGAATACACCCTCATTAAATGTTGAACACAAGACCACACCCCAAAAGCCCATTATTCCAAAGATCCATCCCCCAACTCTAGACCAAAAACAGCTGGTATCAAAAACGTCACGTCAAAAACGTCGCTTCAAAAAGCCCGCCTCAATACCCGTCAAAACACAACTCGCTTTCCAAACACGCACATGGGTATCCAAAAGCCAACTCACACCCGCCCACCTGAACCATCCATCAACCCCAACCCCACCCCCATTCCTGTCCCCATCCCGGCTCCCATCGCGGTTCCCATCCCCATCCCCATAGCCCCCCCATCACCCGGCGTCACCGCCGTGCTCCGACACGCCTTCTCCAGCGACTTCAACCACTTCCCCGGCAGCGCCACATGCGTGTTCTTCAAATGCTGCCGAAAGTTATCCGCGCGGTAAAACTTTTTGTTCCGATCACAGTCCGTGATCCGATGCACCGATTCAACATGCGCCACCAATGCCTCCCGGTCCGCCACCATCTCGCCCACGTTTCCCCCACTATCCCGGTTCGGGTTCTCCTTTCGGGCGAACTCTCCGCCACAGAAGCCGCAGACGTCAAAGGTCACGCCGTGGTACGTTTGGACGTGGTATGCCAGTAGCGGGTTCTCGAGCACCTTGCATGACCAGAAATCGGCTTTCAGGTGGATTGCGTTGAGGTGACGCTCGGCTTCGGTGGGGGATTTGAAACGCTTCTTGCACTGCGTGCACGGGTGCGGCTTCTCGGCTTCGTGGTGTCTACAACACGATGTCAGGTTAGTTTCGCTGTACAGTGGGTCACGTCATGCGCCTTCGGGATACGTACGTAAGCTCTTCGCTCGTATGGAAATGCCGCGGGGCTCGCGGGCAACAGTTGCAAACAAAAGTCGGTTCGGAACTGAGGCCCGGAACTGTCCCAACAGCCGGCCCGTCGTGCCGAGCCACGCTTTCCGCCATGGCCTGTTCGAGTGACTGCGATGAGCCGTTATGGTGGGTCGCAAACAGCGCGGAGGGGTTGATGGTCGTCAGATCGAGGCACATGTCCCCCTTTAGGTCGGCGACACTGCCCGAGAAGGAGACGCCCGCTAGGATGGAGGCTTCGTAGATGCTCGTCACATCGGTGGACATCGTTCGCGCCAAGCTGTCCGAGCTCTGGTTCGAGAATTTCGTAGACGGTTGTCTCGAGTAACGGCTGTTCCATGAATCTCTCTTGCTCTGATCAAAAGGCGGCCGCGGGAATCCCAGTCCGTCCTCAAATGCCCCTAAACCAGGAGAAATGGGCGATTCCACCTTGCCCCTAGCCGACGAAGGCGAAGCCAACGACAACGGAGACCTCGGCCCTGTCGCACCCGAGGTGTCCAGCCCTGAATCAAAGAAGTCGAGTGAACCGATCTGGAGCAGCCGCCGAAGAAACTGATACGGGGTCCGGATTCCTGCCTCGGGCCATTTGTCCACCTCGCAAGCCTGCCGAGCGGAAGCGTGATGCAACTCAGGAACCGATGTCTCCGGAATAACCGAGTTTTCCATCAAGGCATACTGGAGTCTTCCATCCAAAAGGGGATCGTATTTCGCCGACGCTGCCGTGAATAGCACTGCGGGAAGGTGGAGGTATTGGGTGGTGGTCAGATCCTCGGCCGGGACATCGTCGACTAATTGAAATCGAAGCTGCTTTTCGATAATCACAAGGGCGTGTCGCACGTAGCTTTGGATGTACAAGCTGTAAAATGTCGACAACCACCACTTCCTGTCGCGCATGTTCTCCTTGTTAAATATGACGGACGAGAGTTCGTCGACGTAAGCCGCGACCTGGAACCGCAAGTTGTCGATGCATTCCACGTGGCATTGTCCGCCGCCGCAATCGTCATGGCCACCTGGCGAGAGAAGGTTCGCGGCGTGTAGTCGGAGCGCCTCCAGGCAATGTCTCAAACACACTATGGACAGAATAACAAGCGATGTCTGGTCGATGTTAGCATGATTACCGTAAAAGTACAAAGACGTTCAACCTACCTGGCCAACCTCGGCCTCGTAAATGGACGCAGTCTCCAACATGCCCATGAAGCTCGTCCATGATTTGATTTCAAGGGACGCCAGCACCCCCTGGTTATCCGCAAGTTCCCACGCAACAGTGGCGATCAACTCGGTGTATGTAACGGGACTGTCCCCGCACATGTAGCTCCGTTGTAGCGAACCTCGGTCACGGTATCGTCCGGCTTCGATAAAGGAGGAGAAAGAGGCCTGGAATGTCGGGTCTGAAATCGATATCTTGGAACCGGCCCCTTCGAGAACCGCTTTCATGTCGGCCAGCCGCTGGCTTTCCGCGGAGAGAAGGCACCGTTCGATAATTCCCACAGAACGGCACCGGCGAGATATCGTCGATACGTCATGGTGAAGCCCGGACTTCGGCTCGGGACACAGCAGTTGTCGGGGTATCGAGTCTCGCAGGGGTCCACGTCGACAGCCGATCAGGGGCCACAAAGGCGCATCTTCGCCGAGGTGAGGCATCGGCACGCTCTGCAAACAGCACCTGCATGGGCTTCCGGGGTCACACTCGAAGATGATCAGCACACATGATAAGGTCCGAATCAAGGGCCACACTCACTTTACGCCGGAGCACCTTGCATCTCCAACACGCTCCTCCAGCCGCTTCCAAGGCCCTCATATCCCGACGCCCGTTCTCGGTCAGCGGCCCACGCCGCCCACCTTTGGAGATAGATGTCTTGAGCGTGGAGACATGCTTGCTGATGGAATCGGTGATGCGCTCGCTGCGACTCGGCCGGCGTACCAGCTGCTGGTCTCCTGACTCTGTACGGACAGTCTGAGAAGATTGCGATATGGACTCCTGGCTCATATTAAAATGCGCAGTGATGTCGACGGCGTGGAATTCCGGCACGGAGGGTAGATTAGGGAGGCAGAGTGCGGAGTCAAGTTCGGTGGAAGACCGGGACAGTGTCGATGAAAGCCGACGCGGAGGCTGCTGGGGCTTCGAGGCGACCTGCGCTGACTCGAGACGTGACATGGAAACCTCGCGGCTCCTGACATCATGGTTATATCCTAGGCCAAGTTCAATGGCTAACGTATGCAGCACAACAGCCTTGGACGGGTCGCAGTTCTTGAACCGAATCTCGTCTCCAGCCCACCCTTTCGACAAAAGCGAGAGCTGCCGGCGAAGTCGTTCCCGTGCCAAGCCATTGGGGGATCCATCCTCGAGAGATTTGGCATCGTCTGATCCAGCCTCGGAGCGGGAAGCCGGGAACACCGTCCTCGTGGGTGATGGGGCCGAAGGCGGTTGCGGGATGTTGATGGCTTGGGATAAGGGCGGGTTATAAAAGGAGGCCACCGGGAAAACGCCCTCGTCCTCGGCGAACAGGAAATCAGCGGGCATACTGTCCCCGAAATCGACGCTCATCCGGGAATCATGAGATTGGTAGTTGCTAGACGGTTCCAAATCACCAGCCCATAGAGCAGCGTCAAGGTCAAAATCGAGGTCCATCGGGTCTCCCATTGCCTGAGGAGCGACCATTGTGTGATCCATTGTGCCGGGGTGGCCATGGTAAGATGCGTGTTGAAACTGGTCCGCCTCACCTCCGTCAGAATGGAATTGTCCGTCTATCACAAATCGATGTCAGTATGCACGACAACGGCCATGAAATGTGCTGCGAAGAGCTGAGTGAATGACGGCCATTCTAGCCATGCATCAAACGATCCATGAACCAAAAATCCCAATGCAAATAAACACAGGACACAGCACGAAATGAAGGGGCGACGCACCCATCATTTCACGATGCAGGGCCTAGAGCGGGCCGCTTTGCGCTGTCGGCGTCGCTGAATAAAGGCGCGGGAGTGGGGTAGGCCGGCAGCGCAGCACGCCCGACGGGAGTCCACTGCCACGAGGAAAGGTGCGGGCCGGCAGATCATGGGACGAACGAGCTGACTGAATCATGAACTTCGGAAAAAGAGGAAACCGCCGTTTGGGAGACTTTGGATTTGAGCTTTCTGCTCAGGTCGTCTCGGTTGGAGTCGGTAAGTCGGAATCGGGGCGTGAAAAGGAAAAAGGCAGGCGAGAGCACAGCCGAAGAGGAGTCGAGACGTTCCAGTTCCGTCCAGAGCCCCGAAGGGAAGAGCGACCGAGGACAACACAGCAACATGCGACGCCAGATGATGGCGAGTTTTTCTGGCCTTTCAGGCAGAAACCCGGCCTTGAAATTCTGCAAGAGCGACTGTCAATCGAGGCCGCCACCAATGGCTCGGCTTGCTTTTCTCCTCCCCTAACTTATGCCCCCCTTCGCCTCGGTGAGTGGGGAAAAGATGGTCGACGGGAGCTTGCCCGCTTCGGGATTAGCTAAGCCCCCCTGGGGCTGGTCGGCTGCCCACAGCGGCTGGCGCATGCAACTCGTCCAACTGCCGCGCCAGCTTGCTTTGCTTGCTTTTCCCATCCTTCTTGATCGGTTTATCCAGTCTCCTCGTCCCGTTCTGTCCCGTTGAACCCAGCAGAGTTGCGAGTACCCAGCCGCACCTGCAGTGGTCGGTCGGCCCAGCGTACATTGGTGGCCTTCCACATCCCGTCGAGAGAACCTCCAGGACCGCCAGCCTGGACGCCTGCCTGACAGGGGGGTATTTTTTTCGGCAGGACGTTGCCAAGTTGCCCCTCGGCACCAAGTTTTGGTTTTGGCGGGATGTTGAAGATTCAGGGTTACGAAAAATGTCAAAGCGAAGCGCAGTGCGCCTCGCGCCAATTGCTGACATCTGTGTCCAAGCCGACGACCAGGAGGCCACGCGAGCGACCGAGAACCCACAGTCGACGGCTGGCAAAGTCACACAACCAGTCCTATGCAGTCCTATTTGGTCGACAGCAGGTCTCTTCCGGATAGGGCTCGTGTCCTATTTTAGATACTGACTCACAGGTTGATCTTGGTGTTGAGTTGACATCGGGTCAATGTCAAGCTGGCCAGGAGTTCTCGGAGCTTGGCTCTCGGTGAATTGACATTTGACATTCGAGACATTCGAGACATTCTCACCATTGCCAGCCAGCATCTGACATCCCGTGCTCAAGTCATCAACGGAAACAGGATACTTGCTGTGCTAGACTGCACGCCCGCTTCGAGTCACGCAGGTCATCCCCCGGGAATCCACCACGTATCAAGGGTAAACGAAGGGATCCTGCAGCTCCAATAAGTTTTCAACCGCCGAAGTTGCTTTTTGTTCAACATGGGAGCCGTCAGCAACCACACAAAAGTCAAGCTCAACAACAAAGTGGAGGCTTCGCAGGCGCCGGGCCCTCCCACAGGGCAGAAAGTGGGGGTGACCGCAAGGCGTCTTCGACCGGGCCCCGCCTTATAGGTGGGGACTCTTACTCGGCCGGATCTTCATTCCGCCGTGTCAACGCTGAACCCAAGATTCTAACCTTAATCTCAACTCAAAAAGAGACGTTTCATCCAGCAGGGGGCCGACCGTTGACGGTGTCATTTGTGGAAGAGATGTTCGCCCACATTCCGAGATCCGCGAGACAACACGGTAAGGCGTTTTTTTTTTTTTGAGTTGACAGGGAACCGGAACCGAACCGCCGGAACGGGACTCACCCATTGACAACAGTGAACCCTGAACCCGGCGTCGGGGAGAATGGGATATCAAAACGGGTTGGCATTGCGGTCGAGGGCGGGGACGACGAGGTTCTCCACTTCTCCACCGGTGACGATGATGGTGATGATGATTCAAACTCGCCGGTTTGGAACGTTGAAATGTTGCTTGGACCTCGGGTGAGCCGTGGATCCATGTACAATCGTGCTTTCGTGTCTATATCACCGATCACGTCTTTATCACAGCGTCCGCCATCCATGGTTCCAAGAGCGGAGAAGGCTCTGTTCTTCCGGCAGGTTTTGTGTGGGCATGTTACATGCAACTTTAGCCTAGGAAGACTTCGGCGTTGCCTGCCGGAGATGCATTATGAATCTAGGGGAAAAGCATCAGGGATGAGGACATAGAGTCATGAAGTTGCATTCATAACCGTGCTCATGAGCACGAGGCTGAAAGTTTGGCGAAGAACCAAGCCACGGTTTGTTACAAGAGATGAACTATCTATTGTCACAGCAATTGACTAATTACTTTTTACTGTGGCGCACTTATGGAAGGATTTTGTTGCTATGATTGCAGAGACAATTTGAAGTAAAACGAGCAATGTTGACTGCTTAGTGAACAAGAACGGCAAACCCTTCATCAAACTTCTGGTTCGTGGTAGGAGATTCTTCAGGTTAGTCAGTCTTTGTTTCGGTTTGTTTCTCACCTATCACTTTTACTCATCGTTGTAATCCCCATTGTTCTCGCGAAGGACAAACATCCAATTATTGTTGCAGCAGGTGAAGACCTTTTTATTCGTATACCATGGCACATCCCCCAGATCAAAGCGCGAACCTGGTGGTTCAGTCTAAGCATCCACATCATCCTTCGTTTTGCTAGCCAGAGAATGGGGTACTTGGAACGCGCTCTCGCCGCGAACGTGTTGCAACTTCGTTTTTCCGGAGGCTCTTTTCTCTGCACTTCCGAAAGTCCTGGGCCAAATTGTGGTTTGCACTCGAGACCCTACTTCCCTACTTCGGTCTCAATCGTTAATTCCCCTCCCATATCGCCGTGTCTGCAAGAGCTATTGTTAACCCCGTCAATAACCACAGAGAACCAGAACAAAGGGTCTCTCCTCCCGATTATACCCGGCGATATCCAAGATCCAAACCACGATATATCATCATGCATCCGCGAGATTAAGCCTGAACAATGCCTCGAACCCTCGACGCTGGAATTCTCGAGTTCATCGACCCGAAACATCACATACATCATTGGGGCGAGTCAAACCGTCCAGCAGCTGTGCCGGCAATTCTTCTCAGCACGGTCAAGATAAGGTTGACCTCGCATGCCAAAGATGGCACACAGCACGCACGCCATCCAAAGCATGGGGCATTCATGCACTGCTTGGACGCATATGCATCTGTGATATCTATGGTGGTATGGAGGAATGATCTGGGCTGCGATAGAAGCTTCTGCTGCAGAAAATCACCCTGAGCTTTGGTCAAAACACCACAATGGATGCCGTCACAAGGCGTCAATTCAGGCACCATGGGCCTCGCCCGCGAAACTATAAGAGCCGTTCGTTCCCATTCTGCGCTCCTCTTCTTCCTTTTCCTACCGCGCTGCTCAAACCCTAAAACTGGTTCAACTCGATCCATCAACTTACCATACCTGCGCTTAAACAAAACAAACAGAACCACAACAAGAAAATAAAATCACAATTATCACAAAAACCCTGTATCGACGTCCTTACCAGTCGTCGGAAAAACACAAAACACACAACACTCTTATTTTCTGGCTCTGCCTGAAACCTTAATTAAACCAACATCCACGGTCGCGTTCCCCGCGTCCGCACCAATTTTCTCTCCTCTGGTGAGAACCACAACCACCGACCAGCAACGGCCAACAACGCCGACGGGCCGTGAGTGAAGAACAAACAAAAAAGAAAATAAAAGTCCCAAAATGGGGTTTTCTCTTCTCTCCTCCGCCCTGGCGCAAACGGCCGCGCTGGCCCGCGGCGCAATGCGCAGCATGACCACCACGGGTACAAGCAGTGAAGGAACGGTCTCTGCCTCTGGGTGAGGCGATCCCGTTCCTGGGCTGCGAGATTGAACACCGCTGATGCCATTGCAGCAGTGACAAGAACACAACAAACACAAACACACAAAACAACACACAAAAAATCAACACCAATTCCCATCAAAACAACAACACTTCCAACAACAATCACGAAAGTGATACCAACACCACCCCCACCACAAGCCGTCCATCCGCCCAACCAATCGCCTTCCCCAGCCGTCGACTACAGCAAAATTCCACAATTCTAGAAGAGGGTGCGGACGACCTCGCGGTGCTGTCATCAGCTCCGCCCGTTGCTCCCTCGCCGCTGTCGAGTTTTGTGGACAGGCCGTCCAAGATGGTCGCCCTGTCACAGAGAACTGTGAGGAATGGCGCGCGTCCTGTCAGTACAAGGAGCTCTGTCAGGTCAAGAAGTAGGAGCCGGATAGTCAGCAGGAGGAGGAGTGTTGGGGAGATGACGATGGATGAGGGTGTTGGGAATATTGTTAAGACTGGTGAGACTGGCGAGACTGTCCAGACTGTCAACGACAAGACTGTAAGCAAAGAAACTGTGAGTGAGAAAGGTTTTGCTCCAATTTTTATTTGTTTTTTCCGATCCGGTCCTCTTTTTTTCTAGCTTTCTTCTTCTTCCCGTTCTCTTTTATGCCGATTTTCTTGTCTTCCGGTTTGCTTGTATTCCGGTTTTCTTGTATTCCAGTTATCTTTTATTCCGGTTTTTATGAAAGAGAACTCAGCTAACAAAGAAAAGGCTGTCAACGAAACCACTGTCAGCAAAGACCCTCTCAATCACCAGATTGTCAAGGCTATCAACAAACCCATCAACCCCCAACACACCACCACCACAACTCAAACCCCCACCAACACCCAAACCACCCCCACCCAAAATCCCCCTATCAAAAAAACCAAAGAACAACGCAAAGCCGAAGTAGCAGCCTACGTCCAACGCAAAAAAGCCGCAGACGCCCACGCCGCCTGGCTCCAAGCCTGGCGCGCAGCCTCCTACGACCCGGGCTCAGGCCTCCTCACAGTGGCCGTAGAACGGGCAAAAGAGCGGCAATCCGCACAACGGACTGAACGGATTGTCGCGAAGGGGGGGTGGAATCATGGGTGGGCTAGGGTGCCTTTGCCTCCTAGAGATCCTACTCCTAGAGATGATCAGGATGGGATGAGGGAGGAGATGGAGGGGCTTGATATGGAAGGTTTAGGGGGGAATGATGAAGACAGAAAGAGGAAGTGGGGGGTGCCGAGGTTGGTGTTGGTTGATGCTGAGGGAGGGGAGTGGGGGTTGGAGGATGTGAAGGAGTATCCGGAGGCGCCGACGGAGAGTGTGGAGGAGGTGGTGGGGAATAGTTGGTTGGTTTGAATTGAGAGCGAATGCCAGAAGGCAGTCAGTTGATACAGCGATGCAGCGAAATATCACTTTGCATTTCTGCTGTACTTTAGTTTAGACGACTGTGATCACCAGCGGAGTAGTTACTGTAGTTATACAAATTAGAGAATAAAGTACACATATCTATTGACCCAATTGGGTAATAAGTAAACAAAGGATTCTAATTAACACCCCAGTGACCACCACTACAAAAGAAACTAATGCTTCGGGTCAATCCACACCATAATCTCATGATACCCCTTCGCAATCGACGACCACACCGCCGCCACAATCTTTCCCATCTGCTTCGGCACATACTTCACCACAGCCCACAACAACTTCACCACAAACCAAATCACATCCCCCAACAACCCCAACATCGCCTCCAACATCCTCCCCACCGCCGGTCCCAGCTCCCTCAACACCCCAAACACCGCCTTCGGCAACCTTCGCACCACCGCATCCACCACATCACACACCCCATTCCACACATCCTTCAACGTCACCCCCTTCAACCACCCCAACACCGCCCATACCAGCGTATGCAACACACTCACCACCCGCTTGAAGACTTCCCCTGTAGCCTTCCCCAGCGCTTTCAACCCTTCCCACACCCACACCACCAACACCTTCATCGCGGCCGGGATTCTCGAAATCACCTTCCACGCCAACTTCATTACTTTTTTCACCAACCCCGGAATCTTTTTCATCACCGCCCCAACCTCCCCCGGCAGAGCCTTCACCCCCTTCCAAACCTCCCCCACTACCCTTTCCACCGTCCGGGGTGATTTCTTGACTTGCTTGAGACACCACTCCGCGACCTCCCGCCTATGAACCCACATCCACCTCCCCATCTTCCCCACCGGCCGGAAAACCACGTGATACGGCACCGTCCACACCCAAAACCTCGGCAAGTCCCAAGCGAACCACAACGCCACCCTCCCAGCCTTCCTGCTTGCGCGGGTGACTCGTTCCAGCGCGACGGCGTGATGCGTTTTCCAGCGTTTCCATTCCCCACCCCGGCGCTTGGGGAGTAAATCGACTATTTCCCTGTGCCCTGCCTCTCGCGCCAGACGCAGGGCGAGTTGTCCGTCTTCGGAGGCTATTAATTCATCCCGGGCTGGTTCTCTGCGGGTATTGGTGGTATTTGCAGTAGTTGGTGTAAGCAGCAGCCTCACAAGTGTCAACTGCCCCGTCGCAGCGGCAACCATAAGCGGCGTCCTCTCAACAGCAAAATACCCCAGCAGCGTCTCAACCGTAGTCGGCTGGTAAACATACGGCTTCCCCGCCCTCTCTCTCGCCCGGATCCTTCTGCCCCGCTTAACCAACCGGTGCAGGGCTTTATCACCCAGCGGGATAGCGGCGTAGCCTGGTTCGGTGGGCTGGACGGTGCCGAAGCGGTTCGGGTCTGCGCCGGCTCTGAGGAGGAGGGTGACGGTGTGGGGACGGCGGGCGGCGATGGCGGCGAGGAGGGGGGTGAGGCCTGTTCGGGAGGGGGTGTCTGGGGTGAGGAGGTTGGTGGTGAGGTAGGCGGTTGTGAGGGGGTGGGGGTCGGGGATTGGGAGGATGTGATGGGAGAGGGGGGTGGATTCGGAGGGGGTGTGGGGGGAGAGGGTGTGGAAGAAGGTGGTGATGAGGAGGCGGTGGAGTTTGATGATTTTGGGGTTGGTTGGGAAGCGGGTGGTGGTTTCTTGGTGTTGCTCGGGGTTTTTGGTGTTGTTGTTTTTCTGCTGGGTGGTATCAGGGACGAGACTGGTGGTATATGATGGCGGGGCTTGGTATTCCGGCGGACACCGAGTCAGCGGTAGGCCGAGAAACTCCTTAAGGGACGGGTGTTCGGCAAAGATGTCCGCGATCCGCTGGAAGAGAATCGATTCACGGTCTTCAGGGGGAGTTGGCCGAGGTCCGTAACCAGAACTGTACCGGTTGTATGCCGGGAGGGCCTCGGTGTTGGGGCTGTCTGGGTGCTTATCCGTGAGGAGCCGGCAGTTGTAATCATGCTGTTCCGTGTCGGTCTGTGGTAGTCGGGAGATCCGTTGCGCTTCAGCCAGTTCTTCGAGAGTCTCGATGAGGGTGTCGAGGACTATTGGGGTGGGTTCTCCTTCTTGCGGTACGGTGGTGACAGTCGTGTTGTCTGAATCTGTGACCGACGCGGTGTATGGTGGTGCCGTCGCCGTCGAGTTTATTGACTCCTCAACGGCTGAGCGGGGGGGGCTGCTCATGTTGTTGATGTCTGGTCTGGATTGTGTGAGTGGTAAGGTACTGTAATTACACGATACCAAACCCGAAGGCATGGAACACGCAAACAAACACGAAGGCGACCTATGCCTTGAAAGCCAACCTTCAAATCCCGATTATATACCTCCCCTCCTATGAACGCCCAAACCGTCCTCGTGCCAGCTGCGCACGGCAACACCTTATCAGGAGGCTGGTCTGTCTACCCCGACAACAAAAACGCCGTGGGCGGTTGCGGTCGCTAAACTTGGCCGCCCTGGGCCTAGTGACCCCATCGACTCAGCCCTGGCGTGCCCTGGCTTGTCCTGGCGCCCACAGTGGGGCCAGGCGGTTTTGTTGGTTTAGCGCTCCATTGTCAGCCTCAAAACAAAGACAAAAAAACATGCATTTCCATTCATTCCATTCATTTCATTTCATTGATGTCGATTGATGCCCCCAACTGTCTAGACACCTTGGGAAACGCCATTGTCCAGTTGGCGCGTGGGCTCGGCCAGTGCCACAAAGACAAGCCCGACCCGACAGCTTGGGACCAATGGATTTTTGTCGCACTCGTGCGTTGGTTCAGTTGGTGCCGGAGAACGCCTACCGAGCTTGCATTGCGTGGTGTTTTTACCATTGAGTGGTGCCGAGGGAACGGTGTTGGAATGGCCGTTGGAATGAGAAACAAGCCGCGGTCGGGCTGCGGGGCCGGTCTGGCGTTTTCATGTACATGCGCTTTGGAGTCATGATTGGGATTCGGGTGCGATTGTGGTCGGTGGTGGAAGTATTGGGGGGCTGAGTAACTACGGTGAGGTGGGCGTTTTTGGTGTTGGTCTTTGGGCAGACTCGCTTTCGGTGTTGGCGCATGAGCCCACGGTCATGTGCTAAATCTCATGCAGTCACTCTTCACCTTGTCACCTAAGTCATCTCAAGCCTCCAAACTCATCAAACTAATCAACTCATTTATATTTTTCACATATCATCAATTAGCATCTCATCAACACCTATTTTACATCCTCATTCCCTTTCCCAGTCATAATACACTTCACCCACCACCCACCTCTCATAGTCCATCAAAACCCCATACTGGCCCGGTGATACTGTGACAGTAACACTCATTCACCCAACCCCATCTTCTTCTTCACCTCCCCCATCTTCCCACCCAACGCCTCCGTCACATTCTGACCCGTTTGCTGCATCTTCTCACCCGCCGCAGCAGCCGTGCCGCCCACCGCGCCCGCAGCGCCCTCCAGTCCACCCTGGCCTTTGGCTTTACCACTGCCGGCACTATCACCACCACTGCGAATGCCACCACCGACACCGGCACCAGAGGCGCCAGCAGTACCAGAAGCGCTGGGGGCAGTGGCCCGGTGCACGGGCTCCGGTTTATCCGTGGTTGAGTACATCGAGCTGGGCTCGTGGAGCTGGTGGTGGTTTGTTAGTGATCTGTATTCTCTCCCTCTGGGTGGTAAGGCTAGGGAGGAGGGGTTGGGTGGGTGAGTAAAGGACATACGTGAGCGTCTTCCTCGGCGCGGTCGATCAGGTCGTGGCACTCGGCAGCCGCTTCGTCGGTGTAGCCCGCCGGCTGGCCAGGGGGCATATGATGCGGGTGGTGCGGGTGGTGCGGCTTGGGAGCTCTTTTTCTTCCCTGTTCCATTGTGATATTGGTCCTAATGATATCTAGTAATTATGTGGTTTGTATGTTTCGATTTGAAATTGATCAATTCGACAGGGCGCAGGGTAAAAAGAGAAGAAACAGGAGCTTCTACAAAGCTCAAGGAGCAGCAGGGTGATATGTGATGCTCAGTGGCGAGTTGTCTCGACTCGTTGCGTCACTGTCGTCATGCAGAGCTCTGTGTTGGAGAAGCTTTGCTGCGAGTCGGGGACGTCACTGGCGGATCGCCTGTGTCACACCACCTGCTTCTAGCTATCCCTTACCTCTTCGTTTTTGTCCGCCGCATCACTGGCGTCATGAGATGATTAAGAAAAATAAAAGATTGGTGGTTGCTGAGAATTGAATTGCTGTAAGTTTTTGATCGGCCTTGAAATCCAATTGGGCTACTTCTAGGTCCGGCGCCTCTGTAGAGCAACACCAAAGAATGAGGGGAAGGGCATACGCAATAGATGAGGACCGAGATATCATAGGTTGAGAACTGACATGCTAAAGTTGGGACGAGATGGGGTTCCTGTTCCAGACTCATGATTGAGCCCTGCTTTCCCCGCAGCTCCTTACTCGAGCTCTTTACGACTATTACACTTTGCCGAGGCCCCCTTGCGCACGAATCTTTTTCGTAGTTGCTTGGTTTTGTGTGACGACGATGTAAGACGGCTTTCCTAGCTATTATACGATGCTTCAATGTCGGAGTAGGGGAGGTTGTTTACGTCTCGGAAAATGACCTAGCATGGTGACAGTCGGGATATTTTCAACGGCGACTAATGGTCAAGCTAACTAGGAAAAGAAAGCTCGAGCGTTATCATCACTAGTATAACTATCAATGGAGAACTAAGTAAAAATACGAAATCCCCTCTCTCGACCCTAGATACTCATGAATGTTGTGATTTACTATCACTTTCAAAGCACACATCATATCAAAAGCACCCAACACCACAAAGCTGGCACGCGCCAAAATTGAAACTGTATCTCTCACTTCTCGTCAAAACGGGTTATATATCAACCTTTTTTTTCTTTTATTTTGTTTCCCGTTTTTGCATTGCGCCAATTGCTTCAACCGAAGAGTTTAGCCCGCCCTCTAGGCATCTAATTACCATAATTACTAACAAGCTATTGAAACAACCCCCACAAAGCCAACACCCCTTGCCGGCATATCCCACAGTTCCAGTCTCTATTTGGACACCGAGCAGCCCTAAACATCCAAGCATACGTACACTGCATCAATCACAAAACAGTGAATATCAGAAACATTCCTAAGGATCGACGAAGCGGAGGTAACTCGGCAAATCCCGTAGAATAGTTCCCACTTCGACGACCTTCCGTTCCCCCCTGTCCCTCACTTCCATAATGTAGTATACATAGTGCAGTACAACGTGGATTCACCTCATTCCCAACGTTCCCGCCTGCCGAGAACCGAACCAGAAAGAGACAAGACCTGGCCCAATGCTGCCCAGTTTCCGCATCCTTGAAGATCAATATTCCGGTCTACGTGTATTGCTTGATCAGAGACGACTACATACAGTGCTATCCACCACCAACCGGTAGAAGCACCAAAAGGAGGAGCCCGCTCTCAATTCCAATTCTTTCCCCGATCCCTCGCAGCCCTGCGGATGTGTGACCGAGCGAAGAGGACCCGCTTCATACACAACGCGGACAGATTCGCTTCCTCCTCCTGAATTGGTGCCAACCCGCAGCCTCCCCTTTCGACCCAACAGCTCTCGTCTGTCTGCCCATCCTCCCCATCACGCAGATTAAGCTACACAACGATGACGCCCTTTTCTGGCATCTTCGATCTCTTTTCATCAATCTCGGACATTCGTGATACATCAACGAAACTCCCGAACTAATTATTCAGCTCAGACCCCCTCTCCTTCCTATGGAGAGGGGGAAATAGAGTGGGAGGGCAGCTTTGCATCAGTCCGGCTGCAAGTCGTTGCCGTCCCGGCTGATGCATCCTGACGAAGTGGAAGCCCCATCTGGGCCACAAGAATAGATTGCCCCCCCCGGGACCATGGAGCGAGTTTGTCCGTCCGTTGGGCAGCCTTACACTACGCAGAGCGAGAACCCGGGTGTCACCAACCACTTTGCCGCGATCGAGAGCCATACTGTAATTTACCTTATGTGCAAAGTATGTCCACACACATCACGATCCGCGCAGACGGACCGGGGTCTCTTCTCTCGATTTGATTTCATCATCATCATATGATCGACACAAGGCACGGCGGGAGCGGCCCCCTGAGGAGGAGCAAGCATGGTGATATGCAGCCATCCCAATCAAGGCTGAAGGCCTTCTTCCCGCTGTTGCTGTTGTTGGGGCCATTTGGGATTCAGGGGCTTATCTCTAATTTTGGGAGATCGGTTTGGTTTGCAGCAACACACTGGCGGGTCATGCGGACCCATCGATAATAATCAAACCTCCGGTCTCTATGGTGGAAAATCCGAGCGGTTGGAACCGAGATATGTCGTTTTCGAATCCTGGAAGCGGCTCGTAAAACAGCAGTGACCGCCATCCCCGCGAGCCTCGCTCGGTTGTGTGTGATATCGGATCCAGCGGGGAGGCCGTGAGCGTCGAACGGGCGCTTTCAACGCAAGTTGACATCGCTGACAAGATTCAGCCCCGGGATGTGGGACCGAAGTCGGCGAAACGTGGGCCGAGGCCGAGAGGAGCGGTGCTTGGCGCAACTAGCGACAGCGAGCTGCTGCCGCTGGGCAAGTTGGGGGGATTTTATGAGGGGAACGGGCACCTGAAATGGCGAGAATGAGTGGCCACGCCAAGACCGCGCAAAAGACCGTTGCAGTCTCACAAGACGCTAGGCTAAATTAATCACCTTTTTTTTTGTTGCTTGAACTTCCGGCCTTTTTAGCCTGTCCACAGCTTCCATATTTGGTCGCTCCTTCCCACCTGTCAAAACGCAGCCAACGAGATCAGAGCGCTTTTCGGCAGCGTTCATGTTTTCTGTTGAGCATCTCGTGCTGGTCGCAGAATCCGTCAATTGTTCTGCTGGGCTGGGTATTGCCATGAAGATTAGCAAACGGAGTGAGTGCACTGAACGCAATTGCTGCCTCGGTGACGGGTGAGGCCGAAAGTTTACGGAACTCACGCGACGACAAACCACCACTGTTCTCGATGCCTCTCCAATGTGGCTCATCACCGCCCTCGGGCAAACTCCCGGGAACCCCTGACGCAGTCTGACGAATTCGATCCGCCGCGCCGGAAAGAATACCCTTTCTGCCGGAAGCGAATCCCGTGGGGCGTGAGGGGACTTGCGGATCGGCCGGGGTTGCTGCTGGCGCCCTCCACAGCTGGACGGCCCGGAAAATCGCTGCTCGTCGAGGCCAAGCCGCCATACCAGGCGTGGCGGATGCGATGTGTCGCTCCGGCTCGAAAGAAGATCTATACGAAGTGACTGTCTGGGAGCTAGAATATGGAACAAGTATCTGAAGGAAATTAGAGGAGTGATCGTTGCTTTATCAGAAAGAACTGCCATCACCTTGGGCACTTCGTGGACCAGGCAGATCGCCGAGCAAGAGCGACTAGAGTGCAGGCGCTTTGCCGGCTAATTGTTATCCAGTTCCTGCCCAGTCTTCCAGCAAGCCATACAAGAAACGACTCCTCGCAACACGGCAAGGCAATCAATTCGAGCAATCACAGCTAACGACCCACGTTGGCTGCGCAGGTTTTTCTCATCCCCCCTTCCGGTTTTATTTTTCTCTTCCGCTCGCACCGAGAACCGAGCGCGCAAAGGGGTAAAGAACAAGTGTGGATGGCGGGGCTCGATTTTTTGGCACGGGGAGAACGCGGCCGTTTATTGCGAAGCGGCCGAATTTATCGTCCTCACCAGACGATGGCGTTTAACGTTAGCCTGAAGCAGACTGGGGACTCATCCTGCTGCTGGGGTTTTCTTCGTGGTTGCTTGGGGCCTATCGACCAGCCAACTGCACCTGCCATCCACCACACCATCAAGAAGCTGCCTGTCCCCCTTTCCCCCTTCCCCCCTCATGGCCTCACCCCCGTCGCGCCTTCCCCAAGGGTAGCATTGAACTCCGAAATCGACAGTGTGGATTCGCCGTGTGGCTGCTGCGTGGCATGAGTGTACTAACGAGCAAGCAAGGGGAGGCAGGTGCACCCAAAGAACGGGAACGGCCGACGAGAGAGTGTGGTCCAGGTGCAAGTCAACCAAATGTGGACCAGCGAGCCGTGTTCCGTCCCCTGCTTCCATTGCCCTTTCCGAACACAGAACCAGTGATCCCACGGCTTCCCCAGAACATTCGAATCCCACTTCTTTTCGTTCTTCCCACTCCGTCTTGACCAAACCTCACACTCGCATTTTCCCTTTCCCCAATCTCCGCAAACGTGCCCACATTTTGACCATCCCACCCTCAAACTTCCCGTCTTTGACCCCCCCCATTTCTGCAAGTCAGCACCCCCTGGCACGGTCTCGCTCGCTTCGCAGGCACTTGCAACTCAAGTTTCCCGAACACACCACAAGCCTCCCGGTTTCGACATGCCAAGGCCAGCCCCGATCCAATGAATTTATTAAATGGCAATCTAGATGAATTGACGTCAATTCAATCGCGCCGCTGAGCACGCCGGCTCCCCCGACCTGGCCCGGCCGCTCCTTGCGGCTTGCGGCTTGCACACAGCCAACCCCGGACTGGTGGCCCTCCCCACAGTCTCACCTGGTTTTTTGCCCGCCCTGCCGCCGTCGAGAACGGCCGGGTGCGACACAACTGCCGCACTTTCCATCCCATCTTTCCTATCTGCGTGCTGCGTGCGCGCCTTGTGCCGTGGCCACGGGAGACCGTGGAGAAAGGAATTGTGGAGGGAAAAAGCCCGCTGTCCGCTGCCGGCCCCCCCGCTCGCTCATCTCGTCTCGTCTCGTTTCCTTCATCCCGCCAGCGCAGCAACGCGCAATAAACTGCCTTACCTAGACGAGAGTGGGTAGTCGTTTGTCCGTTGGTTGTAAAGTGTGCGTGTGCCGGACGGCCCAGGCATGCGACTTTAACCCACCCCTAGTACCCATCCCTCCACCGCAACCGGGACGCCTACGAACCCCTAAAAGGACCCCGAGGACGTCTCTTTTGTCTTTCCTGTCTGGGCCTCCCCCGCTAGCCTGGTCCGGTTCCACGATGCAGTGGATGCACCCCGCGAGCCACTACCCAGCCACGCTGCACCAGTCTCCATGTCGAACTTTCCTCAACATCGAGCGATGCACGATGCGGGGACATTCACGGCGCCGGCCATCCACGGCGCACACAACCATGGCTCGCACGCTCATGCTCACGGCCACCTCCATCCTCAGTCCGCCATGACCGGCCAGTACGCCCCGTGCCCGTGAGTATCCCTCCCGCCCGCGCCGGTCACCTTCCCCGGAGGCTTCGGGGCCCGTCCAGGTCGTCGCCATCGATGTCCATCGCGGAAACTATCCCGATAGCCCTGATCGATGTGCCATCCATGCGCTTTGCTTCTCTTCGCTCTTCCTTGCATCTCCTCACAAGTCTTATGTTTTCAACGTTTTATCTTCTCGCTTATTTGACATATTTGGCCGTTTCGAGAGCCCCAGAATTGCAGTAACTGACGTGCCACAACACCAATAGGTACGAGGACAAAGTCACCAAGGATGGCACAACAGCACGCATGGTGCTCTTGTTCCTCCGGGAACTGCTCGACCAACTGTCGGTTGCGGAGCAGCCCCAGCAGAGCTACGGGTGTCCGATGACGCGGTGCCACAGGTCCTTCGTGGCGCCTCTGCAAGTCATCCAACACCTGCTATCCTGCCCGGAGCTCGCCAACGGCGAGTTCGACTGCGATAAGTGCTGCACTAGCCACAGCTTCCCCACGAACGAGAAGGACTGGTCGCAATGGATGGGGTGGCGGTCGCAGCAGTGTCTGCAGATTCAGCGGAAGCGAAGTCTCGGCTCGAAGATGAAGGACTTTGCGCTAAGGAAGAAGGACCCTTCGCGGAAACAAAATCCCGCGTTCGACTCCCACTTCAAAAACGCCTCTGCGATGGACACCCGCCCAAGCACCGCTACGTCTGACGCTCCCAGCACCACGTTTACGAACCGGGGTTTCCAACAACATGTCGGCTTCCCGGGCCAACACGGCCAAGGGCCGCATCTCCCGGGCTTTGCCGACCTCCACAAATCCGGTGTACCTTCCGACCTGCCGGAGGTAGACAGCCATATGTTTTGGCACGGGTTTAACAACTCGGCCTCCGGGTTACCGTCCACGGTCTCATCGATTGCTTTGTCTTCTATGGATGACAATCCGTCGGAACGTCTGTCACAAAATACATCGCAGAGCACGCTGTTCAACCCCCCGTTAGGCCACTACCAATCTCCTGGCTCATCATCTCAAGCCCCCGATGGCATATCGGCTTCACAACAACCATACATGTTCCCGACCCAGATGTCCTTTGATCATGGCCTCACATCCCTTCCTGGCCATGCACCAGCGTCTTCGGCCATGTGCATCGACAACCCTCTTCCCTTACCTCGAAGTCCCATCTCGCCGGCCGACCCACGATCACCGGCTTCGAACAGCAGCAGCAGCTGGTGGCGCCCAAAGGTAGAAGCAGACACGTCTCGACCAACACCACCGACGAGTGGGCCAGACTCTCACTTCCCTCTCTCGACTGGCATTATCGACGCCCTTCCCAGCGGGGTCAACAGTGGATTGACAAGTCCAACGTCACCGAATGCGGCTGGATCACCCTACTACCAGCTCCAATCACAAACGACGCAGAGCATGTCGAGGGCCTTGAGCCAGGAGTCTATGGAGGGCAGCATGCCTACCACCTTTGGGACCCCGATTCCGGAACGAAGTGGGAGTGGCTCCTTGACCCCGCGTGCTGAGAGTCAACCGCAACACACCCATCAACATCAACACGTCCACCAACATTCGCATGCTGGCTCAACTCCGGGGAAACCGTCAACCGAATCATCCATCGAGGATCTCGTTTGTGATGAATGCCAATGGAAGCCTCGGGGTGTGAGGGAAAACTTGAAAGGCTATCTCCGCAAACACAAAAACACACACAAGGGCGTCCGATTAGCGTGTGACATCCCGGGTTGTGTCAAGACGTTCAGTCGACTAGACAACCTCAAGAAGCACAAAAAGGACAAGCACGGAATCGAGGACACGGGCGGATCGATCCCGGCGAAGCGAGTGGCGGGTGACATGTCGGAGACCGGCGAACCAGACGCCGAGGTCAAACGGCCAGCAACCGTCGAATCCGAGATTCGGGGTGTTACGGAGGATTACTCGATGCTCTGGCCAGCACTACATTTCTAAACACAGCAAAACGGTGACAGAGGAGCGACGAGCCAAAGGAAGAGCGATGAAGAAAGGCCGCATTGTACAATGCTGGCGCACGCCACCATGAACGATCGTTTGATGAAGAACGACAGTACCGCCCGCTTGACAGCGCAGAATTTTCTTATATGTCTATTTTTTTACCTTTTACTTGCATTTAGTTCCTCCGCTTCTTGTGCTATATTTTGCAGTCATATTTCTCGCACGAGAAACTCGACGATTTACAAAGCCACGCGCTCTTTTACCTTTCCCTTACCTTTTTTGTATTGAGTTGCCTGTGGGTCGATACCCAATACCCCCACACCGAGGGTATGTATGGTCGAATCCTTGCATCACCATTGTCTTTCTTTATCTGTGTATCTAGCATTGAGTTGGTCGTATACATATTATCATTATTGTTGTGCTGGTTCGATCGTAAGCAAGCGGGAAGTTGATGGGAAGGGGGAAAGTCAACCCGCATGTTGAAAGGGGTGGAAAGGGTAGAAAAGGAGGGAAAACCCTTGGATTGAGTAGAAATGAATGCTGAATGTGACATGCACACGCACGTTTTCAAGCCGAATTCTGACTCTCCGGGGTAGCATTTTGGAGCACGCTGGGAGTAGGTGCAGACAGGGAACCCTCACGTTGGGCTGTCCATGTGTGTTTTATTGTTAATTACTTGAGTGTGCAAGTTTGAAATGGCTCGGATCTTTTAACTTTGCCCAACAAAACCGCATCAAAATACAGAGAAAAAACTGTGGAGCATGGAGTTTCACCTTTAACTGCCGAAATTTTTACGATGTTGCCAATATTACTTAACGGTGTGGTGGTTCTATGAAACGAAGAGAAGTTAGATTTCGAGAAGGACCCCTCCAGGGCCCTCTTTGTGAGACATCTCCAGGTTATAATCAGTCAATCAGTATTGAAATCAATATGTAACATGTCAGTAATATAGTCATAGACTATCCTTGCGGCGGTACTGCATTCCTTTTTTTGGCGTTGTTGGCCCTGACGACCAGAGCTGACCATGCCAGTGTTGTGGGCTCTGAGTTTCATTTCTTTGCCTCTTACTTTCCGCCGGTGATTCACTAATCTAGCATCTTCATCAGCCTCGCCACCAGCCGAGAAGTAGACAAGGGTTTTCCTTGATCGGTCCCTCAATTTCTACGACTTTCTCATGGGGGGGCGAACACCAACCTATCTCTAGCACCTAATAGTCATGTCATTCGGACCATCATGTCGGCGTTGTTATGGCGTTGGGGCCCGCGATCCCAGACCGGAAATATTTAGTGATGAAGAAATATGTTCCATCCTGGTTTATCCACCGTGACCCAGATCAACAGTGACCTCGATAACTAGTTCAGGCAATTCTTTTCGCAATCCTGCCTCGCCAGGGCAGCGTGCGCCGATGCAGCCTGTGCGAGGTTCGGGGAACCCGGAGAACCTGTTGTAATCTGAAGACTGACTGGTGTCGCGGTGGGGGTAGGAGGAAATCGCGAGAAGATCGTCCAGTTTTGAAATATTACGGAGGCCCAGCTAAACATGGAAATCCTAGGACTGGTTCGGCGAGTTCACGGAGACATGGTACATACCTATAGGTAAGTTAATACTTTACGTCGAATTCGCGATGACGGGCAATACCACTGAGCTAGTTTTACTTTCCTACAATTTAGTGAGGACAAATGACTAAACAGTATTAGAAAAGAAAAAACAAGAACCTTAAAATCCACTAAAAAGCTCACCAGCCGACCCTCTCCACCGGCTGAAGAGGGGTGCTTTGGTTACGAAAACCCCCGATGGGTTTTTCTCCGGATTGAACCGGCAGCCTCTCGATCTGTTGTCGAGGGGTGAGGCTGCCGCTGGACCGCCTGCCCCCAGCCAACTGCGCCACGCAACAATTGTTGGTATTGCTGGGGGGTTCGGTGGCAGGAGGACCGCGGATCTTGTATATATGCTGTGGTGGCTGCGGAGGGAAGGAGGGTGAGATTATGACCTGGCTGAGATCTGGAAACCCTGGCTTGCAATAGACGAGATGAACAGGCTGCCGGGTGACATTACGCCATGGTGCCCAGCTCTCAAGGTAATGGAGCAACCCGCAAGCCAGTTGGCTGCCGTGAACAGCCTTGCAAGGTTTCTTGATACATTCCTTACTACGGGCTCCTTATATTCTGGGTTAACCTGACATTATGAAACTAAACTTTTGCGCAAACTCCGTCGCAAGCAGCGGTTCTAGGCCCAGGTGCTCTTTCAGCCCCTGCTTCCGAGACTTCATCAGGCTTCACGACGGCATAAAAAAGAGGCGTCTGTATCTAGAGGTAATTCCTTCAGGCGGCCGAACGCAATCTTCTGAAGTTCGAACAGTCTGTTGGTTTATTTCATCGGGCTAACACTTGGTTGTCCTGAGGGAGTATACATCTACCTAGGAGAGGAATTTAGATGAGGCTGGATGGGCCCTTCTGCGATATTTTAGCACATGTTTTATTTTACGCATCGCGAACGGTTGGAAGGTGAAACTTGTGCTGGGTTGTGTTCACCTCTTCCATTTCACCTCCGCCCTACGACACCGACGATTTGGAGATCGCAGTTTCGCGATCGATGTTTTTTGAGGACAAAGATCCCTCCAGTCTCGGGTTCTTGTAGAAACTGATAAGGTGCTAGTAGTCCTGGTGGTCAAACAAGAGAAGGTAGAGACATTGATGGTCGCACTCATGATGACGAGTTTATTTTCTCTTTATTTCCCTTATGGTCGACTACAGGGCTGCCCGATGTAGCATGGAGACGAAGAGACGGTAGTATTCTTGACTAAATGCTTCAAATATTCCTACGTTGGAAAACTAGTTACCAAGGGTCATCTCGCACTGTGTGTAGACTAAGTTAGGCATCTAGGTAACTACGCTGTAGCCTGAATTTTCGGGGTCTTGTTAGGATTGGACCTTTCCAGCAATAATGGGCCGTTGACTTGTAAGTTTCTGCCTTCCTGACCTGGGTTTGGAATTAGAGGTTAGCACGACGAGCATGTTAAAAATGTAAGTGACATTAACTTGAGTCTTGTGGTTCCTCTTCCAATTTGTCAGCGGGAGGTGGTAGGAGACCCCGCACTGTATGATTCAGTACTGGTTAGAGGTAGGTTCATGATTTTCTTCAGCGACGGGCCGATAACACCATGTAAAAAATTCGAACTACTGTTTCGTGATACATCGCTCAAAGCACGATTTTTCCACTTCGAGGCTCCTTGGACGTATCACTAAACATTTGTTGTGGCCCTACCGCCTCCGCATGTGGGGAAGTTGATTTCAAGACTTCCTCATTCGGCAGGCCGGCTTACTCAATGACGAGTACCGTGACGAGTTTTCACATACGGGCTCGATAGGCAACTCCTGTTCTCAAACACCGATTTAAACCATCAATTAGTTGGTTCACCCATCCATAATTCACATTCACAACGCCCTTCACTTATCCAACAACACCATGGCGACGACTACTCCCACTATCGCGACCCACAGCGGGGAAAAGCGCCAACGAGTCCGCGACCTCCTTCCCAACCTCCACCTCGGCCGTTTCCAGCCCGGCCCTCTGAACTCACTCACCGACGTTCCCGGCGTTCTGGTCCACACCGAGTCGATCCATCGCCCGGCCACGGGAACCGCGGGCGAAGTGAACACGGGCGTGACCACCATCCTTCCACGCAAAACCTTCCACCATGACGGCTCCTACGCCGGCCTCTTCCGCTTCAACGGCGCCGGCGAGTTGACGGGCAGCCACTCGATTGAGGAGACTGGGCTGTTGAACTCCCCCATCATCCTGACCAATACCTTCGCCATCGGGGCTGCTCACCAAGGGGTGTACGAGTATGGCATCCGTAATTATTCGGATGAACGGGGCCGTGTCGACTGGTTCACTCTACCCGTCGTCGCTGAGACCTTCGACGGCTTTTTGAATGATATCAGCCAATTTGTCGTCACGCCCCAGCACATCGTGCGCGGCATCGAAAACGCTACTGCGGAAGCTGTGCCTGAGGGAAACACCGGCGGCGGAACAGGCATGATCTGTCACTGGTTCAAGGGGGGCACAGGCACGAGCAGCCGCGTGGTGCCTGGGTTCGACCGCTACGACGCCGAGGCCCGCAAGAACACGTCCTACACCGTCAGCGCGCTGGTTCAAGCCAACTACGGCCGGCCCGACGCCCTGCGTATCGGCGGGGTACCCATTGGTCGGTTACTTAAGGAAGAGGATGAGAAAATCAAGCAGGGTAAACCGGAAACGCAAGCAGAGACAGAAGCAACCGAACCAATCACCCATGACCCGGCCCTAGAATCCGAAAAGAACCGTAAAGACGGCAGCATCATCGTAGTTATCGCCACTGACGCGCCCTTGCACCCGCTCCAACTCCAACGCCTCGCCAAGCGCGCCACATCGGGCCTGTCCCGGGTCGGCGGCGTCGGCCACAACTTGTCTGGCGACATCTTCCTGGCCTTCTCCACGGCTAACTCCATCCCTGTTCAAGAATCGGAGTCAGTGGATGTGTGGCGGCCCACGCCTGTGGAGGGTGTGAGGGTATTGGATGATTTGACTATCAACTCGCTGTTTGAGGCCGTGGCGGATGCTACGGAGGAGGCGATTTACAATGCGCTGTGCATGGCTGAGCGGATGCAGGGGTTGGACGGACGGACGGTCGAAGCGTTGCCATTGGGGAGGGTAAAGAAGGTTATGGAGAAGTTTTTGTGATGTGTTTCTGTTGTGCTTCGGCGCATGGCTGTTAGATTGCTGTGGCGATATTTAGCTGTTGGTGGGGGAGAGATGATCAGGAGAGCGTCTGGAAGAGGATCGGGAGGAAGTTTCGGGGGGTTGGATAGCAATCTACAACGGCCGGATTCGGGACGACTTCGGTCTGGCCTGGCTTTTTCCTAATTTTGGATACTGTTGTCAAGTACAACGTTAGTATTGTGGTACAGCATACCAATCCTGTTTGTCGTACCTCTAGATAACTCCTCGCCGACAACGCGGGGCAAGGCGTTGAAACCGGGCTGAGTGTGAGTTGATGTTGAGCAGCGAACCAGGTATCTAGAACGAGCCGTAAACAATCCAACGTCACCATTCGACCCACGAACAGAATACATCCGGGTTTGGCGACCATCGGGCGTATGGACTGCTCGCTCCTTCAGCGGGTAAAACCTGGTCTCCGTTGTTCATCAACGAAGTAGCTCCACTACGGCGAATTGACTCCCAACGTCCCATAACTCGTAGCGTTAATTCGTGGATGATCTACGATGGGGCACCAACCTCGCAAGCCCAGGGCTTTTGCGTGGCTAAAATTGCGAGTCGTTCTTGCCTTCGGGAGGTTGGACAACCGCACCTGCCTTCCGAAGATGTGACAGAATGATCAATGATGCAAAGTGACCATTCATGTTAGGAAATGGCGAATATCCTGGGTACATACATGATTCAGTTAATTAACTCCCACTGGCAGGGAAAGACCCAACGACGCATTAGCTGGCGGGCTTTCTCCGGCTCAATAGCCCCCCACCAGGGAAACATAGAATTGAAGTTTTCTATAGTTATTACTGTTCATCCATCGATCTACATCTTATCAATCGCTGCAAGAATCTACCCCAAACTTATTATTAGCACGGCCGTGATCTGCGTCGCCATAGAGCGCAACTATTTACATCCACGATTGTCAACTCTCGGCCGACAAGTTATTGGGCCGGGGTAGCAATGGCGGCCCGTGGAATACAGGCCCATTAACCAGTCCCGGTGTTTTCCCTTCCGCGCCAATCGCAACCAAAAGATCATGAAAATGAAACGCCTCAATAACTCACGACCGGGGTCACCAACCTTAATTCGAGCTCAATTCGCCATCCAACACCGCGATCATCTAATGAGGCTTGCGTACGCCTTTCTACGCGAGGGCCACTAACCGGGCTCTAAGAACAACACCATACGGCTAGCCCCGCCGAGAAAGAAGCCGCGTCATACACCAGGGGGAGGAAGTTGTCCAACGGTGGGCGACGGCGGCGGCAACACCGGCTAATTACCCTCAAAGCGCGGGATCGACGTCGGTTACTACGTGAGGGGGACGATCGCTACTGTATACTACCGGCCACGCCCACAAGAATTCCGGGGAAGATGAGGAAGGCGATGCTAAACCTGGTAGCGCCGGCACTGCGACGGATCTTAGCCGCCCGCCGCCACCCGTTGAAGACCGGAATGAAGTGATAGATTGTGCGCAAGATGCAATCCAATATCGAGTTCCTCTCAACCGACAAGCTAACACCATCGCTGTGGAGAGATGGCATCATGGAAGGGGGAAGAAGTGGAAAAGAGAGAGGAAATGGGGTGATGATGTTTGAGTTGGACGAAATGAGGACAATATCAGGGGAAAGAAAAGATCTATAAAACACCGCGACCATCACCGCTCCAAGGTCGAACTTCTGTCTCATCTCCATCCTCATCACCACCGGAGGCCACAGTCCTTGAAACCGCTTCTACACCATCACTTGCTTAACAAAGCAGCAACATGACGCACTTCCTCGTCAAACTGATCGCCGCGGCCGCGGCCATTCAGCAGGTCGCCACCCTGCCGGTTTCTCCGCAAGGTGTGAACGCCGTGGCTCGCCGGGACAACGGCGATGACGGCCCGACTGGCTGGCCCCAGGACCCGCCCCCGCCTCCTCCGACCGGCCTCCCGGTGCCCCCGGTCCCTACCGGCGTTCCCACGCCTCCGGACCTCCCGGACCCGCCGGTCGAGCCCCCTACAGAGGATCCTCCTACGGAAGACCCTCCCACTGAGGATCCCCCGACAGAGGATCCCCCAACAGAGGACCCCCCGACGGAGGACCCTCCTTCCGAGGAGCCTCCGGTCCCCGAGCCGACCCCGACTCTCGGCCGGCGCCACAGGCACTCCTCCAAGCCTTCCGAGGAACCGACTGGCGCTCCTGAGCCTCCCAAGCCCACTGAGGAGCCCCCCAAGCCGACGGATGAGCCGCCCAAGCCCACCGATGAGCCGCCCAAGCCCACCGATGAGCCGGAGCCGACTGGTGCCCCTGAGCCAACCGATGCTCCG